TTTTTTTTTTTGCGCAAGCCTCCCCCAACGCAGCCCTCCAAACTAAGGAGAGAACAAATAGGGAAGAGATTGAAACTCTGCCAGAGTACAAAATGACGTTCTCTTTCTAAGGTCAGTGACTTCAATTCTTCCCGAGGGTGATGTTGAGGAATCAAGTGACCCTACGCGTGCTAGGCGCTTGGGGATGAGGGTGCCCCTGGAAACTCTCAACTAGCTTCAGGCTCTGATCCCTCTTTGGATCCTAAAGCAGAGCGGCAGCGGCTCGATACGTCTTCCCCAGGCTAACACGCCCGCACCTGCCGCCCCCCGCCCCTGCACACCTGTTGCCCCTCGCACCGCACCGGGGTGGGCAGGTGAAGGCAGGCATAACTTCACCTTGACGGCCGCAGGGGCCAATCAGAGCACGCGACTCCCGCAGCGGGCCAATCGCAGAGCGTCTTGGATCCCGCAGCTCGGGGGCCCAACAAAACCCCCGCTTCGACTCCGAGGAGCGCGGGGGGCTCCTCGAGCCCGCAGGCTGAAGCCCGGCAGCCCCGACAAGGCGAGTGAAAGTTCGCAAGGAAAAGAGAAGGCAAACAGGGAAGTACTCACCCGCCCTGGCGCAAGAGGGTCACTTCTCTCCACGGGGCGACATCTCGGCTCAATCAGTGCCGTGCCGACACGCCCCTGACCAACCGCCGCCGCCGCCGCCTCGGCCTCACGGTGCACCGCGGTTCGCCGCCGCCTGTTTCGAAGGGACCAATAAGAAGGCGGAGAGAGGGCGTGGCTGGAGGCCCCGCCCCCGGGCCGCCCGGAGAGCACGAGACCTCCGCCCGCGGTTCAGTCAGCCCCGGGTACCCGCCTCCCACCGCCGGCGTCTCGCAACTCTGGTGGCCGAGCCCGTTATTTCACTGAAGGATAAGGAGGCTTGGTCACAGAGCAAATCCTCCCATCTGGCCCCTCAGCGACAGCAACAGCCCTTCCTGTTTGTCCCTATAGGCAGGAGAGGCGAAGCAACCTCGCCTCTAAGCATCCTGGAATGTTGCGGGGTCGAGTTCAAGGGCCTTGCCCGGAGCTTGAACCTGATCTGTTGAGAACCCCTCCCAACCTTAAATCCAGTCGAGATCTGCCTGTATTGAGAGCGTCACGGTTTCTGGAGGCAGACTGTCACCCAGCAGCAATGGGAGTTCTAAGCTAAAACCTTTGAGAGAGAGCCCCCTCCTCCCGGGCGGGTTGAGGGTGAAAGATGGAGAGGAATCCTGGAGCGCCAGGCCACAACTGAAAGCAAAAAGAGGATTTGGCTCTTCCTTCGGGAAACACAAGAAGAGGAGGGGATGGTGGGGAGTTAACCTCAACACAGTGAGGGATGCTTACTAGCTCAAAGAGTTGAGATAAAACAGAGACTGGACTTGAATGTAACAATACCAAGATGTGATGACTGTAAATGTGGGTTGTTAATAGCGGCGGGGGTGGGGGGAAATCAATGGCTAAAAGCCAAGAGGCCCAGACCCTTCCCCTCCTGTTACTTCCGTTAGTTTTGTCAAATCCTGTCACCTCTCTGGGCCTCAGTTCCCCATCTGTGTGGCGATTGAACTAGAAAAATGGTCTCTCTAGCATTTATTCCTTCAGTCACTCCTAAAAAACAATGAGGAGGTACTTTTGCTTGCTGAAGAGACTAAAATGAATTAGACAGTCCCTGCCTTCAAAGTGCCCGGCAGCATGGTAAAGGCTCAAGGGAAGTCTGTGGACGTCTGTAAAAGAGGAACACCTAATGGTCTTGGAGGGTGATGGTCAGAGGTTTAAAAGGAGCTGAATTTTGAAGGATAAGTAGGAACCTGCCAAGAGGGAGGATAATTGGGGAGTAAGGAGTGCTTTCCAGGCAGAGAGAACAACAAGGTTCCAGAGATGTGAGAGCACCTGGAATGTTCTAGGAATAGTAGGTCTTATGACTAAAGTATGGAGATCCAGAGAGAGATCCGGCTGGAGGAGTAGGCACAGATGAGAGGCCTGGTAGGTGCTAAGGAATTTAGATTCTTTCTTGCAGGCAATTGAGATTGATTATAAGGAAGGGAATGGTTAGTACCCCACTCCCTAAGCGCACTCATCATCTTACCTACCTTGATTTTAACACAGAAATTAGTAATTGAGGGTTACACCTAATGAGCTGCAATCTCCTTTCATGTGTAGATTTTCTAATTGGTGGTTAGGTTAATAGCAGTATTTTAGAGGTTCTCACTTTACTTGAGATTGGCATGCTTGTAACATGCAGAGCAAGCCTCACTAGTTTACTTCCATCAGATGACAAAGTCTATTAGTTCTGACTTTCCCAGAATTGTGAAGATGTGCCCCACTTTAAGAAAGTACTGTACTTGGAACTCTAAATTTTAAAAGTTATTACATTAGGAATAACCATTCATCTGACTAAACATCTATACAGAATACAGAAGATTCTCTTACAATCATATAACCCTTGGATAATGAAATATGATTTGGCTTTTTCACAGCCCTACAAGAATGTTCTATTTCTTAAAACATACCATAGTTGTTGAAGATTTTTTTTTGCTTGTGATTGGTTTATTATTTGTTTTGTTCTGCGTTTTATGGTTGCTGCTGTTGTTTTTAGTACTTTGACATTATTGAGTGTCAGTCTATGGATTGTGCTTTGGGTGAAGTACTGGGTGAAATTTTGGGACAATAGAGATTTTGATTCATTCACAATTAATTAAACTACTCATTCAGCACATAATCTATTGAGAGCCAACTACAGTAAAAACAATACCAAGCTCTATCTTCAAGGTATGTCCCCAATTTACACCAACAAACATTATGTATAAGTAATTCAGTGATATAAAATTTTATGAAAACAGTTGTGATTAATACTAAAATATTGTATGTATGTGACAGGTTCAGTAGTGTCCTCCCCAAAATTCATGTCCACCTGGAACCTCAGAATGTGGTCTTATTTGGAAATAAAATCTTTCCAGATGAACCTCTCCTCAGGTTTGATCATTTGCAGGTATAGCCCACAGGACTCAAGAAATCAGTTTTCTTACTATCACCAGTTTATTATAAAGGATGCAACAAAGGAACAACCAAACAGAAGAGGCATAGGGTAAGGTATGGGGTGATGAGCTGGTGGGAGGAAGGCATGGAGCTTCTGTGCTCTCTCCAGCACACCATCCTCCCAACACCTCGATGTGTTAACAAACCCAGAAGCTCTCCAAACCCGTCCTTGATGGGTTTTTATGGAAGTTCCATTACATAGGCATGATTGATTAAATCATTGGCCATTGGTGATTGACCTCAATCTCTGAGCTTCTCTCCTTTTCTCAGAAGTCTGGGGATGGGACAGAAAGTTCCAGTCCTTTAATCACACGGTTAGTTCCTCTGGCAACCATCCCCCATCCTGAAGCATTTAGGGGCCCACCAAGAGTCACCTTATTAGCATAAACTCAGGTATGGTTGAAAGGGGCTTGTTATGAATAACGAAAGATGCTCCCATCACTCAGGAAATTTCAAGGGTTTTAGAAGCTCTGTATCAGGAACTGGGGACAAAGACCAAATATATATTTCTTATTGTATCACAATGAGTTTTCCACACGAGAAGCATTATTATTTGCTATTACAAGGTCTTAACCACTTGAATAAATCCAGACCTACAGGATTAACTCCTAGCTCTGTCTACAGGGTCGCATCAGTTCCAGCTCATTTCCCACCACTTTCTCCACAGATGCCTTGTGATCTGGAGACACCAAACCACACTCAGGTTCCCCAAACTGGATCTCCTCCTTCAGGCATTCAGAAATTTACTTCTCTGTCTTAAATGTCCCTTCCTCACCAGTCCTCTTCCCAGGTGGGCCTGCAACTTCCCACTTACTCTTCATTCATCAGCTAACTCCCTTTAGATGTAGGGGCTGATATCTTCGTTTTACAATGGTGAAACTGAAACTTAGAAAGGGACTGTGCACCCTGTCTCTCTCTCCCAGATTACTTGTGGCCTTTGAACATCCAACAACTCCCCATCTCCCTCCTTTTGCTCCTGCCACCTCTTTCACCTTGAAAGCCCCTTCCTTCTTCCCCTGGCCCATGGTAGTCCTGGCTATCTTTTCAAGCCCAAGGGAAATGTCACCTCCTCCCGGAGACTTTCCCAGGGGAGCCCATAGAACTTTCCTCTGCACTTCTTTGTAAGCTCCTCCAGGCATTTATTGTGTCTTAATCATCTTTGTATCCCTTATAGAACTCAGCAAAAGAATCTTGTACTTAGTGGGGACTCAAGTCTTTTTTGTTGTTGTAGCAAGTGGAATCCAACTGATGTTAGCCCCAACTCACTCCCTTTTCCACTGACTAGCTATTTTTAGGACTTCAGGGTTGCCCTAGTATTTACAAAAAAACCTTTGCTTGCCAAGCAATCTCTATTTTGGCTGACTTCTGGCGAAAGGGAGATAGAAGCCCATTACTTACAGAAGGTGTTTTATTGTATTCACCCAAGAATAATGGGGAGAAGAATGCAACAGTATAACAACGAAGGAAGGAAATGAACTAATTCCTGCTTTGGGGGAAGTATACAACAGCTGTGCACCCAGCTGTAGGAGTGTTTTCCAAAAGCAAAACAAAACAAACAAAAAAAGTGATTAATTATATGCACTGTAGCCAACAGTGAGCATTTCTAAGAGAGCAAAGGGAATGTCCTATCACTGGAGTTATCTGCATACTGTGAATTTGTAAATGCTGCCTCAAGGCCCTAATTATGAAAAGGGATTGTTTGCGGGAATATTTTATGTGAGAATCATTAACTTTTCTCTATACTGTTCTCTTTGAACTTCAAAGAAAATGAAATGATCAGAGGGCTATTACAAATGAATGAATATTCACCAGGGCTTCTCCAGGGATGAGAAAAGCACCATTCATGTTGTGAGAGTTTATCTTTTTGTAGATTACTCCCTTGGGCTCAATAGGGTGTCATTCATCCTTTAAAGAAATAAGAGTTTGTATGTTTTTCAAATTTTGTTCCCAAAGAAAAGCCTGTTGCCATTATGTTCAGTTTATTGCCAAAGTTGAACACAACTCTTTAATAAAATATATGCAATAGAGTAAAACAAAGAGCAAAATGAGATTTCCCCTATTTCAACAGAGAGAGTTGAAATAATGATAAATTTAATTAGGCAAACAGGGCATGCCAATTAGAATGACAGATTCCCTGAAGCCTTGTAAAATATAATGGAGACAAAGTAATTCTATCTAGCCCCATATTTAGAGCTGTGGCAGTTATATAATTACTACATAAATATTCATCAAAATTCTTATATGAAACCAAGTACAAATGAAATAAAGGAAAGTTATACATCAGATTTATATTATGTGGAAAATAAAAAGTTAGACCCTGCCCCTATGATGCTCATCACTGCACATCCCAGATTTCACAGAGAAGCGGGGTAAACTTGTGGTCATTGACTCTCCATGACATCAGCATCTCTGCATGGTGATGGTTGAACGTCCGCAACTCAGTCAGGCGACCCAGAAGACATGCAAAATGTTGAGGATTTTCAGGCTGATGGATCTTGCACAACTTTTGTAGCACATCAAGCAGTGGTTCCTGAAGCTTCTCTACTGCTTCTCTATCCTTTATATATTGTCTGTCTGTTTTGAAGTTTAAAATAGAACGACAAAAGAAAAAAAAAATGGAAAGTATTAATTTGGCATAATTATAGCAATGTTAACTTTTTTGAAGTATAACTTACAAATGTACACTTAAAAATGTACAAATTAAGCATTCAACTTGATGAGTTTTTACACACACACACATAAATATTCATGTGATCACAACTAGATCAAGATATAGAACATTTACTCCCAGAAACCTCCCTAAATTCTCCTTCCAACCAATGCCCCCAAAGGTAACTGATATGGTGGACATAAGCATAATTTCTAATGAGTATATTTTGAGAAGCAGAATTGCTGGGTCATAGAGTATATACATGTGTAACTTTGTAGGTACTGTCAAAAAGTTTTTCTTTCAATTATAATTTTTTTGATAAAATAACCACTAGCTTCTGCCGTAATATCATGTGTAAGAAGTGATTTAAGGATAACACTGTAATTATGCTTCACAAATCATGAACGTGGCATCACTTACTCTCAAATAATTAAAGTAATCCAAAAATATAGACAAATTTTATGTATAGAGTTTGTGATATTGTGATTTATAAGATATATATATTTGGTCGTCTAAATGACCAAATATATATTTCTTATATATTTGTCCACAATTCCTGGCTCACAGCTGGCGAAACCCTTGGAATTTCCTAAATGTTGCGAGTGACAAAGGTGTTTCCTTTATTAATGAAGGTGACTTTTGGACCGCACCCAAGGGTGGGGGCTGGTTGCCAGGAGAATCAGTCATGTGATCAGAGGATTGCATCTTTAAGTCCCACCCCTGAGGGGAGAGGAGTTTGAGATTGAATCAATTGCCAAAGGCCATTAACTCAGTCAATCATGACTATGTAATGAAGCCTCCATAAAACCCCAAAAGACAGCTCATCGCACTTTCTTTTTCAGCGAGTTTCCACACTGTAGAACCAGAAGGCTTCTGTTTGCCACCGTCCTGGGCCCCAAGCTCCAGGAGGACAGAAGCTCCTTGGTTTGGGACCTCGCCCTACGTATCTCTTCATCTGGCTGTAGATTCGTATCCTTGAATATCCTTCGTAATACATTGATAATCTAGCGAGTAAACGGGTTTTCTTGAGTTCTGTGAGCCATTCTAGTAAGTTAATCAAACCCAAAGAGGGGGTCATGGGAACCTCCAGTTTGTAGCCTGTCTGTCGGAAGCACAGGTAACAACCTGGGCTTGCAGCTGGTGTCTGAAGCGGAGGGTGGTCTTGTGGGACTGAGCCCTTTACCCGTGGACTCTGCTTCTATCTCTGGGTAGACAGTGTCGGAATTGAGCTGAATGCTCGGACACGCTGCTGACGTCTGAGAACCGCCTGTTGTTACCAGGAAGCCTCCACACACACACACACATTGGAATTGGCTCCAGGAGCCCCTTAGCAGAGGTATTCATTTCAACATCGTTTAAAACAAACAAAAAAAAATTGGAAACATCCTGAATGTCCAAACATATGGTAAAAATTAAGTAAATGATTGTACATCAATACAATGGAATATGATGCATAGATTACAACAAACTTTTACCAATATAATGTTTTAATGACATGGGAAAAGACTTTTAAAGAAAAATAAACTTTAAAAAAAAGAGAGTATGTTCTCTATTATGTTAAAAAGTATATAGTTTCATTTAGGTCCCTGCTCAAATATCAACCCTTTAGAAAAGCCATCCCTGACCATTAATTAAAAGTGCATACTGCTGCCACCTTCTTTCCTTGTATCCTCATCTTTGTTTTTTTGTAGCATTACCACCTGAAAATTATTTGTATTTGTTTCTTCATTTATTATCTTTCTCACCCTACTAGAATGTAGGCTCCATGTAGCTGTAGCCTGCCTCTTTCTTTACTGCTGTATCCTCCAATATCTAGGACCATGTTGAGTGCATAGTATGTGTCCAAAATGCAGTTATTGAATGAACACGTGTGATGTTTAGAAAAAAGCTGAAAAGAACTACACTGAAATGTTAACAATGGTTCAATTTGAATGGTGGGATTATAGGCCATTTTACTTTTTCTTTATGTTTCTGTGTTTTCCAGATTTCCTTTAATAAACATTATTACTACTATACTGGGGGGAAAAATGAACAAATGTCGTAAAAATAAAAATGTAACATTGAAATTACCTGGAGAGAGGATGACAATTGCTGTAAGCAGAGCATACTCTTCTTGAGTCATTTTCAGTTCTGCAACACTTTTATAAAAACTAAACATAGGTGTTATATATTCATCAGAGATACCTATGGGGGAAAATTGAAAATTGCAGAGGCATAGTAAAATTTTTGAATGACTGAAAAGTGTAAAACTATAAACATATTATATATGCATGCACATGTTAATATTTATTAACAATTCAATGCAAAGGCAGGGCATTGCAAAGAAAATCACTTAACAAAGTCCTCAAAATAAAACCTAGTCAATGATTAGTATGCCTTTCATTTCAGCAGTGCCTTTGTTTCAGTTACTACTCTGTGACAATAAATGATTGTTCTTGAATTGCCAAGAGAATCTCTGAACTTCATCATTTTCTAGATGGGGTGTAGTTAATCTTTTTAGTATTATTACCTAAAATCAAGGCATATATAGCACCTTAAACAAGCAGCAAAAAATTATTCTTCAGTCCAGAAATATAAACGGCTCCACATAATACATTGGCTAGGGTTCTTCTCAGAGTTCTGATCTCTCTAGGAAGTACTAAACCTGTTTATCCACTGCCTACTAGGCACTGGTACCTGACTGTTCTCTTCAAACTCAATATGTCCAAAATCAAACACCATGTACAGAACTAAACTTTCCATCTTCCTCCAAATCCACCCCTTTCCTGGAATTCCCATTCTCAGTGATTGGTATCCTCACCCACCCCACTGCCCCAGTCTGACAACTGAGATTCAGCCTCTCACTAATTCAGCAGCTGCCGAGTCCTGTGATTCGACCTGCCAACTCTCCCTTGGGGCTCCCTCTCCGCTCTACTGCACCTGGCATTGACTTAGTTTAAGTCCTTATTTCTTTTCATCTGGACTACTGCAATTGCCTCCTAACTGGTCTTCCTGTCTTCAATTTGGTCCCTCTCAATCCATCCCAGAATCATCTTTCTAAAATTCAACTGTCTCCCTACTTCTTACAAACTTTCAAAAACTCTCTGTGACTTTTGGTATAAATGTTCTTCTTTTGTACATAAGAAACTCCAGGACCTGTCCCCTGCCTATCCCACCCACCCACTACTCGCCCAGATGATGATAATAATAGGAGTTCACATTTATTGAATACTCGTTATGTATTAGGCACTCTTCCAAGCACTTCTTATGCTCTAACTCATTTAACCTTTCTAACGTCCCCTGAGGTAGGCACAAAGAGGTTCTACAACTTGCCCAAAGACACACAGCTGCTGAGAGATGGAACCAGGATTCAAACCAAAGCTGGCAGGCTCAGAGTCCGGCTCCTAGCTGTGACTAAACTGCAGCACCTTTCTATCACTCGGCCTTTACTCCAGCCATGTTCGCCCCTTGCAGTTCCCTAAACAATTCACATTGCCTAGTTTTTGTACATGTTTTTCTGTCTACTTGAGATATTCTCCTTCTCCTTTATGTAGCTTACTCCTCTTCATAATTTAAGACTCCTTTGTGTCACTTCCTCCACTCACTCAACAAAATCTTAGTTTTGTGCCTGTTCTGTGCACCACTATCAGAGGAGCTTTGACTGGGAAATTGTGGAGACAGAAAAAAAAAGTAAGACTGTGATGTGACTTATGGATGAGTTAAGATGATGATGAGGTCCCCAGGACTGATCCACACTAGAATAGGCTGCTCTATTTGCTCCTAAACCAGACCTAGAGCCGCAGAGCTTTGGTCAAACCACACCAGCATAAAATTGGATCCCAGATGCCCAAAAGTACAATTATCATCTAGTATTACACTTCACAGAATCAGAAAGTCTAAATCCTCACCTTCAGAGGAATCTAAAGAATCTTCCCAAACTAAATCTTTGGCCTTTCTCTCTTTAGTCAAAATACCACAATTTTCTCCCCTTTGACTTTTGATTCTTTAATTGACCCAGTGTACTCTCTTAACAACAGTGTCTTTGTTAAGCAACTTTTGGATTACATCATGTGGAAGATTGCCCTCTATCCAGTTGTTACAGATTGAACTGAATACCCATGACCAAACTAGATACGAGTTAAACTACAGAGGGTCGGAGTGTGTGAGCCTGGGAATACCAGTCTTGGTTTCCAACAAACATCATGGTTAGGAGGTCGTGCGCCAGCTCTGAGTTTGCAGTCTGACATATGACTTGTTTTGGGGCACATTACTTAAACTCTTTAAGCCTCAGTTTCCTCATCTGTGAAATGTGAACTATAACAGTATTATATGAGACAATATATGTAGAGTGCTTAGCGTAATACCTGGCTCATAGTTAACCTGCAATAATGTTAGAGCAAATAATCATAATAGTAACTAGTATTACTGTTATTCAGGAGAATTGGAACACATTAGTTCATTTTAATCTCAGTTCCTCTTAATCTTAGTTAGATTAAGCTCACGTACTTTTATATTTACAAAGTTATGTTTTTGTTTTTTATTTTGTTTTACAATCTGAGTTTCCTAGGGATGAATACAAATTGCCTGATCAGTGATTTGCCTCAGTATTTTTCTACATATTAAAGCTAAACTAAGGTCTGTATTTTTTTAGTAAGATTATTCTTTTCTACCTTCGAAAAATGGCAGTCTTCAGGCTTTCTTTGGCATATGGGGACTATACCCATCAGTCGTGGTTACCTAAAATAATAACTTATGACTGTGCCATTATTTTTAATGGTGTATGAGGATTTGAGGATAATATTAAAGGCAGCTGATTTTAAAATGTTCAATTTTTAGAAATCATCTTTGACTACCTAATTTTCTATTTTATTTGTCTTTCTAAATTCCCACTAACTCTCTAAAGATGTTACGTCCATTAACTGTGTAACTGTAGTTGATAACTTTGGGGGAAAAATAGGTAAAAATGTTTATTACAATTGTTCATTTTGTGCATGTTGTAAAGGTCAATAGTGAATATAGAGAAAATGTAGAAAACAAATAGAAGAGTTTTTTTTTTTTTAATAATTATCCTACAGGATAGATCAAATATAAACCTGCTTTTGGAATTAGAGCCAATAATCAGAATTAACCACTCCAGCATAAACAAGGGGGGGTTTTAAGTGTTTATGAACCAAAACAATTTCTGACTTAAGAAATGTAACAATAACATCATCCTGATGGGGCAGTCTTTTCCTCTTTTCCTGCTTTCTCCATTCTTCTGGAGACTTGCTTCCTTTTTGCTCTTATGCACAATTAGCTGATTTTTGGTCACAAGAGGGAGCTATTTTCTAACTTAACCACAAAGACTACTGTAGAAACGTTCAGAGTTGTAAAAAACCATTTATGTTCCTGCTCCTGTGTTTCTTAATTTATTTTCCTTAAAAAAAAAAGAGGTCTGTGATTAATCAATTGTTCAATGATCATAAATATTCTTTGAGAGAATAACCATTTGAAAGAATTAATGCTATGCTGTTTGAAGTTGTTATTTTGAATGTAAATGTCTTTTATTTCCTAATTAACTACCTAGTTTTAATTGGGAACAAAAGTAAAGCAGAGGTTTATTTGTGTGTATGTGTGTGTCTGTATGTGTATTATAATCAAGTGTGTATATTATACAAGACATATTTCCTGGTATTTTAAATAACTCTATATGATTTATTATAATTGACAGTCTCAAGATAGACCAAGAATCTTGTTTAAAATAATGCTATTTGCTCAAAACTATGTAATTTGACATTTTTCTAGAAATGACACCACCCAATAGCATAGAAGTTAAGGTATAAGCCCCTGACATGGCATACAAGGCTATGTCTGCCTTCTGCTTTCCTTTCAAACTAAGCTCACACTACACCAATAGTTTCTCTATGAACCAATGTCTCCAACTCTTCTTGGTTCCTGAAGCTAATTCAGGTCCTTGTCTACACAATATATCTACCTTCCGCACTCCCGCGCCATGGCCATGTACTATGGCGGAGGCAGATCTCACTCCTGCCCAAGGTCCAGCCACTGTTAGTCTCATTTCCCTTGTCAGAGGTTGGCATAGTCAGCAAGAGAGGGGAAATTCTGGTCAATGAGATGAAGGGGCGTCTACTGGGAAGCTCCTGAGAAAGATTTCTACACTCAGGAAGAGAACATCTCTTTGTCTTTTGGCCATTGTTGTACCTGGATGTGATGCCTGGAAGTGCTGTGGCCATTAGATGACCAGGAGGAGAACCAGCCTGAGGATAAAGCCAATATACCAAGGATAGCAGAGCCGAAAGAGAAAAAAGACCTGTGTTTCTGATCGTGTGTTGACTCCCTGACTTAACCAGTTCTAATGCCACCCTTCCTCTGGGTTTCTCATTTGAGCTAATACATTTCCTTACTTTTTTAGGCCATGTTAGTTGATTTTGTTACCATCAGCCAAGAGCATCCTAACGGATAGCTCCTCTAACAAATAAAATACATCTTTATGTCCTCATGCTTTTATGCCTGAAATATAAGGCAGGATCCTTGTTGGGCTAGGACACCCCACCCATGTTTCAAAGCCAGGTTCAAATTTTGCTTCTCTGTGGAGTTTCCCTGTCACAATGAAGCAGAATTAGTTGCTCCCTTCTCCTCGTTCAATTCTATTGCACCAATCACAATTCATATCTCTCCATCCCATTAGAGTCTGAAATACCATATAAATTTTATGAGAGCAGGACCTACTGCTGTATTCTCAGTGGCTGGCATGTTGCCTGGCCAATAAAGGGTGCTCCATAGATATTTCTTAGTCCTCTCTTATTAGTAAATAGCATCCTGCTGGAGACATGGTAGGAGATTAATAAATGTTTGTTAAATTAGGCAATATTATATTTTGCTAGTTCCTTGTGACATAGTTGTGAGATGTTGATGGGGGCAAGAGATACCATTAAGACAATGGAAACATTCTTGTAGTGGACCTTGGCCTCTATTTCAACTGCTGAACTTTACTCAGTGAGTCATTTGTGCCATACTGTTGGTGTTAAGTACAAAGCTACCATTGAATTAGCAATTCAAAGAATAACTACTTTCAATATAAAATATTTAATAAATAACATACTTTTCATTAGTCCTAGTGGCTAAAAGTTATCTGGCCAAATTAGATCTCAATGGTGCTGAGGAGTTGCCAGGGTTTGGATTGTCAAGTTCCAGATTCATCTTAA